GAAGCATTGAAGAGTACGTAGAAACGCCACAACGAAGGTACGCCACATTGATTGGAAACCTTGGGGATTAAAAGCCCTAGCTCGCTCTCTTAAAGGGTGGGCTTAGTCAGTTTTTTCGGGAAAGCGATGTCACAGTTAACTTATTGGCGTTTCCCCCCCTGTGAGATTATCTTGATCTTTTTGGCATGGTAATACATTGTATTCGAAACTAAAGAAAGTTATGCTATTGTCACGTTTTGTATAGACCTTATTCATAAATGGCTGCCAATTTGGAATTCTTTTGTATGCATTTACTTAGCCCAACTAACCTCGTTTGAGAGTAAAATTCTTTTGAATTATCAACTCAAAAATGAGGCTAATTTAAATACTTACAAAATAACTTTTAATTGGCAGCCATTTATGAATAGAGTCTATATAGAAAAGCTTTTTAGTGGATTAGTGTTATTATTTAAATCTCTTTATTATTAGATACCTGAATGAGAACAGAGTTCACAATATAGCCTCTGGAACATTCTCAGATGTTAAGAGACTTAGATCGCTGTAAGTACTTTAAGTAGTTACATAGTCTGATATCCTATTTACACCAAATAAACTAGTTTAACTAAATCAGGTTTAGTTTTTCCCAATTTTTTCTTACCGTTTGCAGTTATTTTACGAAGAAAATTTCAAACCACCTGGCTAACATACCTTAATCAAACAGTTGTTTACTTTGTTAAGTTGTGTGATGTACACGGTATGAGCAACTATTAATTTTGTTAACGTTGTTTAGTTAAACCACTTTTAAACATGTTTAACTTGCTGGTGTTCAGTCTCTCTCTTTATCTCCATATCTGCTCTTTACTACAGATAAAAAACAAAGTTTTAACTGATCACGAAATACTAGCTGTGGAGTCTCTAGGGTGGACTGGGAAATTATTTGTGTAATATATCAAACACGAGAGACCGTGTTTGACCAAATTTCCAAACACCGAGAAGAGAGTTGAAAATACGACGCGTGGCGGAGTATTTTTGACGAACTTCGAGGTGTTTGGAAATATGGTCAAACACTGTCAGGAGTGTTTGATATATTTTCTCAATCGAAACTAAAAGTAAAGAGAAAACGGAGAAATAAAATCGTAAAACTCTATGCTAATTAAGATCATATATCCAAACACCGTCACGGTCATGTTTTCCTTTGCTTAAACTTGATGAATTACTAATGAGTTTGAGAAGTATGCTTTCAAATGCTGTAGACTTTTTTGGTATTTCTGGGGCTATTTTTTTCTTTATCAATTACTATTAAGTGATTATTAATGCAGTTATCCTTTATGGTATGGATGCCAGGATTAAGCTGAGATTAAACGGAAGACTCTCCATTGCTATCACAGAACTGGCCCTACTGGAATGACTTAAATTCTCAGAGCTTAAAATAATTTTGTTTGTGACCGACATTTTATTATGTCACTGTTTTGAAAGTGTTTTGACGGGAAACAACATCACTGAAATAAAAAATTACACGCTCGAAGGACTTCAATACAGCGCGATGGAAATGTGAGTATAACTGTTGAAAATCTCAGTACGCTTCAAAGCAGTAGTTTTATTATTACACGACTGCCTTTCATGGTACGTACTACTGAAAAATGTGTGGCGATTTTAACCCATTTTGTACTCTTTGTTCAGATATAGCTTTTTCCATGTATATTTGGGCTATTCAAGGCCATTCGACAAGTATTTTCCTCCAACTAAGTTGACTTCAGTTTGTGTCGAGCTGACCTTAGAAAGAAGCCCATCACTAGGAGCGTGCAACTACCCCATATTCCTGTCACGGCGTTTTCACACACCGATCTTTTTTAGTTTGAATTTACCGCGAATTCCGACCCCCCGCAGGAACCTCAATGACCAATCACAAGCACGGACTTAATTTTTAACTGACGTGATCATTTCAGTGGAAGAAGTGATAGGCTAATGTGAGGTAAGCCATTTGTTTCCTTACCGATTCGTGCTCATGTAGACCCGAACAGACCTATTTCGCGGGAAAATAAGCCTAAAATAGACCGGTCTGTAAAAATGCCATGACATTGCGTAAGTATGGGAGTTGCACGCTCCTAGTGATGGGCTCCTGCTTTAGATGTGTATCCGAATCGATTTCAATTTGTATCGACCGAATACTGTTAGATGTTGTTTTCGCGTACCTGAATTTAATGATTTTAGCAGAAGTACAGCTCGCATTATAATAGTTCCATTAAACCTGTCGCTGTTTGTATTATAGACTTCTGGATAATAACAGCATCAAGACTATAGAACCAGGAACCTTTGAAAGCTTTGCAGAAACAAGATTCAGTTTCTTAAATTATTTGTAAGTATTTTATTAGTCTACTTTTAGAGGGTCCCCAATAGGTTTGGCGGGATGCGGGATTTGGCTTTTTTTCGAAGTGATATTTGGGATTTGAGCTGAAAACAGGAGCGGGAAGCGGGAATAACGATTACGAGCGGGAGCGAGATTTCGTGTTTTTATGAGGTTGGGATGTGGGATTCGCAAGCAGAACAGAGCGGGATACGGGATTCCAATTCTTACGTGACCTCATAAATTGTTATTGACCAGCGCAAAAACCACAAGCTGGCAGAAGCGAACCTTTTGTGCGTTTAGCTGTGTCAGGGTCAGGTTTCAAGTAATAAATAGCAACGGCTCTGTACCCTATCAAGTTCTATCAAACGTATCCATTATCGCTTGACTACGTTAGTATCATGAGACTGTATGAGGTATTTGAGTCCTTTGGTGTTTGATCATTTGTGTTGACCTCTGACATCAATGACATCTGTCCATTTCCGACAGTTTCGACGCTTGCGTCTTTAATCTTGGCCCCCCGATCCTTTCCAGTTCTTCTAGTCTTTCGACCTTTTCCAGAGCGCTTGGCTTGTTTTGGCAAGGATGGCCACACTGAATGGCGGTGATAGTGATTTACCGAATGTTACGAATTGCATCACCATATACATATTTATGAAAAGGATGTGCGGACAGGAATGCCTTCATTTAAAAAGAAAAGTTCTAAGGCACGATTTCAAGGAAAGGGAAGACTGAAAGCTTTGAAAGATATTGTCCAGTGTGTTTCTCTCACTGATACGTGGATAAAAGAAAACAAAATAGGAAACCGTGACAGAAACAAACGTTATAATTATTTGTGCTTACTTAACTGCTACCCATTGAATTCTTTTGTGACCTTTTATGCGATATGTATTTTTAAAAAGTTTCTGTGTTAATTATTAAAGTAATTCTTAAAGTAACAAATCAATAATTAATGCAGAAACGTCTTTAAAAAGTGGGCGGGATCGGGATTTCCAGGCAAAAAAGGGCGGGATGGCGGGATTGACAAGAAAAAATTGGCGGGAAAGCGGGATTTGAGAACCCTATTGTGGACCCTCCTTTTACGCTATAGAGACAACCCATGCACGAAAAATACAATCCACTGCAATGCAATACTTTTACTTGACGTGGAACATATGCTTAGCTGTATGGTTTAGTTTAAAAAACTGCACCAGCTACCTTCCACATATAAGCCACGAAAAATAAACAAATAAAAAAATAAATAAATAAATAAACAAATAAATAAAAATATTTAGTAAAAATAAATAAACCTTTTTTAGTTAAAATAAAGAGACGTGTTTGAAGAAGTCAATGAAGTCAGAGGAGTGTTTGAATCCCAACTCATAACTTTAGTTAGTTGAAATGATATATATATATTTTTAATTTCTCAATGCAGATCGTTAGCTGGAAACAAAGTTGAGATTCTCAAGAACAAAACTTTCAATGGTCTAAAAGCTCTATACAAACTGTGAGTAGAGTCCCAGTTTTGTGCTGTAGGGAACTTCAGTGTTATCAACCACAGTTTACTGAGTTTCAAAATAAGAATTGATACCGACATAAGCGTTTGAATTTAGCTTATATTTAGTCAAGTTTATACCATGTAATTACAATTTTTTACTTCATCTGAACTGACAGTAGTCTGCAGAGTAGCATTAATCTTGGTAACGTGTTGGTAAGCACCACATACAAATGCAAAACTTAACACACACGGACAGGTCAAGAACTGGTGACTTTAAAACAACAACCTTGTCCTTCTTTATTAAGTTGTTTTTAAAGTCTCTCATATACATGTTTTTGAGTTGCCTTTTCTCTTCCGACAGTGACCTGGAAAATAACAACATTCAAGTTGTCGAGGCCAGAGCGTTTTATAGACTGTACAAGATCCACACTATGTAAGCTACCGTTAGATTGTTTTAGTCAAGTAAGGTGTATGGGTTATTGATCAAGCTTGTTCGGTCAAGATGGCTGGATATTGGCCAAGTTCTTTTTTTGGGGTGTTTATGGACCGAGACCGAGACTCGCTAAACAAAAAACGAGGTCAATATCCAGCCACCTTGACCGAACAAGCTTGGTCAATAAAGGATTTATTACATGGCTTTCGGGAAAATTTTTCTTGCGGGACACGGCGGTAAGTCCCGAGCGGGCAAGAAAGCTCCATCTTGGCCGCTCGGGTAGCCAATCACAGCGCAGGATTTGATTCATCTTGCCCGCTCACGGAGCTAGCCATATTACTGTCTATTCTTGACAGCTATCAAGCTCTTTTCTTTCTAGATTAAAGTTTGTAAGAACAGACGCATGCAGAGCCAGTTTTTTGGTCGCGAGATTCAACATCTTCGTTTATGACGCGATTTACAAAGAGGGCTATTTTAGGAGTGGGGTAGAGCAATAGCTATGATATGATGGTGATTACTAATTGGTGACGATTTACCGCACCTCTCCAGTCAAAACGGGCCGGGAGAAATAACTTTTCTTTTTTCATATCGTTCTTCATCTGCAGTTTTCTTGCACCATTCCCTTCATAGCCACATTGTCTAAGCACGCTTTCGCACATTAAAGATTTATGCTGCCATTTAGTACAATGACACGTACATGTACAAATATGTTATATTTTACATCCTACGTATATCACAGAAACTTGAATGGAAACAGACTAACAAACATCACCAACGGAACGTTCTACTACAGGAGAACTCTTAGAGAACTGTAAGTTGCATGTGTTGATGTCTTGAAAGCTAAATATAGCAAACATATAACTACTGTATACCTTGAACCCTAACATACTATTCAGACGAAGCGTAAATGTAAAAAGACAAGTTGTTTTGAAATCAAGTCAAACTAAACAAAGTTGCGCCCTGTAAATTCACAATTCGTCGACAAAGAAGGCTATAAAATGCTGCATTGTGAACTTTTGGCTGGCTTGGTGAGAGGTGAGGAATTTGCCTTATATCAAATCTGTGCCTGTAAAGGTTTCACTATTATTAACCTACATCGAAAAACCATAAGTATTGATTTCCTTCCTTTCTTTTCCCTTGCTCATATTAAATAATCAAGCTTACCTAATGCGAGAAACATTTTCCTTAATTTTGCCGTTCAACGCTGAATTGCAAGATGAAACAGACGAGTTTGATGCTGCATTAGTACAGCGTCTGGACTTGCAGCACGATTGAAAATACGCAAATGAATGCTTTCAACTTGCAATGCAACTTGATTGTTGAGCAACAAATTATAAAAATATATTATCCATATCAATTGGTCTTAATTACGTTTAACATTTTATACCAATCCTGTCAGCTAAACAGCGGCTCTTAGTTAATTAGTAGCGTAACAATGCTTTAAAATCTAGGTTCCATTTTATATTTTAAAAGAGTTAAATTCTCTTTAAGGATCTTATCTGACAACAACATTTCGAGTCTTCCAGAGGGAGTTTTTGCAACACTGAAATCCTTGCGGGCCTTGTGAGTAATGGATCATGTATTGTTTCCATCGCATTAAGACACTAGCAGGTCTTTACAATAAATGGCAAATTTTCGCACGCTTACTGTTTATACCATGTGAGTGGCATCACCTGATAAAGTACGTGACGCAATGCAACTTCGGAAAACATATTTATACTGGGAGAAATTGTTCAAAATTTTCCACAAAATACTGAAGTCAGTTACTTGCGCATAATTTTATATGAAGAACCTCTTTCTTGAAACAGAAAATAACAACGCTCGCGCAATTTTACGCAGAACTTATCCTCCAGTTCACTAGTAAACTAGTTTATTATATCGTAAACATATCAGCCAAATGGTTTGTGGTCCACAATTGAGTGCAGACCAAGGAAATGTATGGTCGGTTGCTAATCACAATTTTACTGTCTCATCTTATTCCACATTGAATTTAACACATTCGACCTGCATGATACATGATACATAGACAAGCCTTTAATTAATTTATAAACTAACCAGCTGAATTAAATCAAAAATAGGAAATAAAACAATACAATATTTAGCTGCCTCTCTTCAAATTCGAGTAATATAATTTACAAGTAATGTAATTTAACCAAAATTACTGACTGACCTGAAGGCCGGTAAAACGTGCATTGGAAATAATTGATATTTTTCGTGTTTGTGATAGGAAACTGAGCAATAACCCTTTGCTGTACATCCACGCTGGTCTTTTAAGAGGCTTATCTCGCCTTACTGACCTGTGAGTACCTAACTAAGTGGTTTCACCTCTTGTCATGCTCGATACGACGCCAGACTAATTTCGCTATCTACTTTCTCCCTTTATTAACCACAGGAAAATGGAACATTGTGGAATAAAGGAGATTGAACCAAATTCATTATCTCCCTTGAAGGCGCTCAACAGACTGTAAGCTGTTATTATTTTTTGATGTATCTTTCAGTATAATCAAATTTGTACCCCGCAAAGCATTATCAACGGTATTTTTTAAAACCAAATTGAAACAAAGCCGATGACACTGGCAATGACGAGAATATTAGTGATGTATAAACTCTTGTTCTTAGGCCATCGAAGCTTAATTAGAATAGATAATCGTACGAATGCCAGTGCAATTAGGGATTTACACTTCGAGTGATACTTGAAAATTTTCTCCAAATTGTACAAGCCTTTAGGATAGTGCAATTTGAAAGAATTTCAAATATCTTTCAAATATCACGAGTAGTGTAAATCCTTAATTGCTCGAGCTTTCATACGATTACTCATTTATTATATGACTGAGAAAATCACGAAAGCGCGCGCGTTGATTTTCATTGCAGCGCAAATTAAAAATTAATGACAAATTGGNTTGAGCTGAAAACAGGAGCGGGAAGCGGGAATAACGATTACGAGCGGGAGCGAGATTTCGTGTTTTTATGAGGTTGGGATGTGGGATTCGCAAGCAGAACAGAGCGGGATACGGGATTCCAATTCTTACGTGACCTCATAAATTGTTATTGACCAGCGCAAAAACCACAAGCTGGCAGAAGCGAACCTTTTGTGCGTTTAGCTGTGTCAGGGTCAGGTTTCAAGTAATAAATAGCAACGGCTCTGTACCCTATCAAGTTCTATCAAACGTATCCATTATCGCTTGACTACGTTAGTATCATGAGACTGTATGAGGTATTTGAGTCCTTTGGTGTTTGATCATTTGTGTTGACCTCTGACATCAATGACATCTGTCCATTTCCGACAGTTTCGACGCTTGCGTCTTTAATCTTGGCCCCCCGATCCTTTCCAGTTCTTCTAGTCTTTCGACCTTTTCCAGAGCGCTTGGCTTGTTTTGGCAAGGATGGCCACACTGAATGGCGGTGATAGTGATTTACCGAATGTTACGAATTGCATCACCATATACATATTTATGAAAAGGATGTGCGGACAGGAATGCCTTCATTTAAAAAGAAAAGTTCTAAGGCACGATTTCAAGGAAAGGGAAGACTGAAAGCTTTGAAAGATATTGTCCAGTGTGTTTACGGGCCAGTTCTTGAATATGGGAACGAACAATCTTTTTCTCTCACTGATACGTGGATAAAAGAAAACAAAATAGGAAACCGTGACAGAAACAAACGTTATAATTATTTGTGCTTACTTAACTGCTACCCATTGAATTCTTTTGTGACCTTTTATGCGATATGTATTTTTAAAAAGTTTCTGTGTTAATTATTAAAGTAATTCTTAAAGTAACAAATCAATAATTAATGCAGAAACGTCTTTAAAAAGTGGGCGGGATCGGGATTTCCAGGCAAAAAAGGGCGGGATGGCGGGATTGACAAGAAAAAATTGGCGGGAAAGCGGGATTTGAGAACCCTATTGTGGACCCTCCTTTTACGCTATAGAGACAACCCATGCACGAAAAATACAATCCACTGCAATGCAATACTTTTACTTGACGTGGAACATATGCTTAGCTGTATGGTTTAGTTTAAAAAACTGCACCAGCTACCTTCCACATATAAGCCACGAAAAATAAACAAATAAAAAAATAAATAAATAAATAAACAAATAAATAAAAATATTTAGTAAAAATAAATAAACCTTTTTTAGTTAAAATAAAGAGACGTGTTTGAAGAAGTCAATGAAGTCAGAGGAGTGTTTGAATCCCAACTCATAACTTTAGTTAGTTGAAATGATATATATATATTTTTAATTTCTCAATGCAGATCGTTAGCTGGAAACAAAGTTGAGATTCTCAAGAACAAAACTTTCAATGGTCTAAAAGCTCTATACAAACTGTGAGTAGAGTCCCAGTTTTGTGCTGTAGGGAACTTCAGTGTTATCAACCACAGTTTACTGAGTTTCAAAATAAGAATTGATACCGACATAAGCGTTTGAATTTAGCTTATATTTAGTCAAGTTTATACCATGTAATTACAATTTTTTACTTCATCTGAACTGACAGTAGTCTGCAGAGTAGCATTAATCTTGGTAACGTGTTGGTAAGCACCACATACAAATGCAAAACTTAACACACACGGACAGGTCAAGAACTGGTGACTTTAAAACAACAACCTTGTCCTTCTTTATTAAGTTGTTTTTAAAGTCTCTCATATACATGTTTTTGAGTTGCCTTTTCTCTTCCGACAGTGACCTGGAAAATAACAACATTCAAGTTGTCGAGGCCAGAGCGTTTTATAGACTGTACAAGATCCACACTATGTAAGCTACCGTTAGATTGTTTTAGTCAAGTAAGGTGTATGGGTTATTGATCAAGCTTGTTCGGTCAAGATGGCTGGATATTGGCCAAGTTCTTTTTTTGGGGTGTTTATGGACCGAGACCGAGACTCGCTAAACAAAAAACGAGGTCAATATCCAGCCACCTTGACCGAACAAGCTTGGTCAATAAAGGATTTATTACATGGCTTTCGGGAAAATTTTTCTTGCGGGACACGGCGGTAAGTCCCGAGCGGGCAAGAAAGCTCCATCTTGGCCGCTCGGGTAGCCAATCACAGCGCAGGATTTGATTCATCTTGCCCGCTCACGGAGCTAGCCATATTACTGTCTATTCTTGACAGCTATCAAGCTCTTTTCTTTCTAGATTAAAGTTTGTAAGAACAGACGCATGCAGAGCCAGTTTTTTGGTCGCGAGATTCAACATCTTCGTTTATGACGCGATTTACAAAGAGGGCTATTTTAAGAGTGGGGTAGAGCAATAGCTATGATATGATGGTGATTACTAATTGGTGACGATTTACCGCACCTCTCCAGTCAAAACGGGCCGGGAGAAATAACTTTTCTTTTTTCATATCGTTCTTCATCTGCAGTTTTCTTGCACCATTCCCTTCATAGCCACATTGTCTAAGCACGCTTTCGCACATTAAAGATTTATGCTGCCATTTAGTACAATGACACGTACATGTACAAATATGTTATATTTTACATCCTACGTATATCACAGAAACTTGAATGGAAACAGACTAACAAACATCACCAACGGAACGTTCTACTACAGGAGAACTCTTAGAGAACTGTAAGTTGCATGTGTTGATGTCTTGAAAGCTAAATATAGCAAACATATAACTACTGTATACCTTGAACCCTAACATACTATTCAGACGAAGCGTAAATGTAAAAAGACAAGTTGTTTTGAAATCAAGTCAAACTAAACAAAGTTGCGCCCTGTAAATTCACAATTCGTCGACAAAGAAGGCTATAAAATGCTGCATTGTGAACTTTTGGCTGGCTTGGTGAGAGGTGAGGAATTTGCCTTATATCAAATCTGTGCCTGTAAAGGTTTCACTATTATTAACCTACATCGAAAAACCATAAGTATTGATTTCCTTCCTTTCTTTTCCCTTGCTCATATTAAATAATCAAGCTTACCTAATGCGAGAAACATTTTCCTTAATTTTGCCGTTCAACGCTGAATTGCAAGATGAAACAGACGAGTTTGATGCTGCATTAGTACAGCGTCTGGACTTGCAGCACGATTGAAAATACGCAAATGAATGCTTTCAACTTGCAATGCAACTTGATTGTTGAGCAACAAATTATAAAAATATATTATCCATATCAATTGGTCTTAATTACGTTTAACATTTTATACCAATCCTGTCAGCTAAACAGCGGCTCTTAGTTAATTAGTAGCGTAACAATGCTTTAAAATCTAGGTTCCATTTTATATTTTAAAAGAGTTAAATTCTCTTTAAGGATCTTATCTGACAACAACATTTCGAGTCTTCCAGAGGGAGTTTTTGCAACACTGAAATCCTTGCGGGCCTTGTGAGTAATGGATCATGTATTGTTTCCATCGCATTAAGACACTAGCAGGTCTTTACAATAAATGGCAAATTTTCGCACGCTTACTGTTTATACCATGTGAGTGGCATCACCTGATAAAGTACGTGACGCAATGCAACTTCGGAAAACATATTTATACTGGGAGAAATTGTTCAAAATTTTCCACAAAATACTGAAGTCAGTTACTTGCGCATAATTTTATATGAAGAACCTCTTTCTTGAAACAGAAAATAACAACGCTCGCGCAATTTTACGCAGAACTTATCCTCCAGTTCACTAGTAAACTAGTTTATTATATCGTAAACATATCAGCCAAATGGTTTGTGGTCCACAATTGAGTGCAGACCAAGGAAATGTATGGTCGGTTGCTAATCACAATTTTACTGTCTCATCTTATTCCACATTGAATTTAACACATTCGACCTGCATGATACATGATACATAGACAAGCCTTTAATTAATTTATAAACTAACCAGCTGAATTAAATCAAAAATAGGAAATAAAACAATACAATATTTAGCTGCCTCTCTTCAAATTCGAGTAATATAATTTACAAGTAATGTAATTTAACCAAAATTACTGACTGACCTGAAGGCCGGTAAAACGTGCATTGGAAATAATTGATATTTTTCGTGTTTGTGATAGGAAACTGAGCAATAACCCTTTGCTGTACATCCACGCTGGTCTTTTAAGAGGCTTATCTCGCCTTACTGACCTGTGAGTACCTAACTAAGTGGTTTCACCTCTTGTCATGCTCGATACGACGCCAGACTAATTTCGCTATCTACTTTCTCCCTTTATTAACCACAGGAAAATGGAACATTGTGGAATAAAGGAGATTGAACCAAATTCATTATCTCCCTTGAAGGCGCTCAACAGACTGTAAGCTGTTATTATTTTTTGATGTATCTTTCAGTATAATCAAATTTGTACCCCGCAAAGCATTATCAACGGTATTTTTTAAAACCAAATTGAAACAAAGCCGATGACACTGGCAATGACGAGAATATTAGTGATGTATAAACTCTTGTTCTTAGGCCATCGAAGCTTAATTAGAATAGATAATCGTACGAATGCCAGTGCAATTAGGGATTTACACTTCGAGTGATACTTGAAAATTTTCTCCAAATTGTACAAGCCTTTAGGATAGTGCAATTTGAAAGAATTTCAAATATCTTTCAAATATCACGAGTAGTGTAAATCCTTAATTGCTCGAGCTTTCATACGATTACTCATTTATTATATGACTGAGAAAATCACGAAAGCGCGCGCGTTGATTTTCATTGCAGCGCAAATTAAAAATTAATGACAAATTGGCCCGCTCACAGTTAATCACAATGAAATCATTTTCTCAGTTATATAATATGGAATATAAAACCAACATCAGTGATAAACATTGTATTCCAACGCATTTTAATGCTGAACTTGACGTTTCGTATGCTAGTCTACATACGTTTCCAAAAGTGGCTATTACAAATTTTTGAAAACTATTGATATCGTAAATATTAGAGGTCTGGACTTACCTAGACTGAACAAAATGATCTACAGCAGTAAGTTAACCTATCTAGACGACATTGGAAGTAACATCTAGTAAAACAGCTTCTCATTACTGACGTAGACATTCAGAGGAGGTTTCAGCTCTTGAATGAACAGTATCTTCAATTCTGTAATGAAAGCCAGTTTTGTAGGACATTAAAATGTCAAAATGATCCCATTTTATGAGTGATACTAGTACTAGCGTTTAATTTTTAACACTGAAAATTAGTAGCGGCCTTTTTGTAATGTGGTAATGCATTTTATGATATTTTTGAAACATGAAAAGGCAAAGACAATTAAGAATTTAATCTTTTCTGGCGATTTATTTTTTGAAAAAGATCAGGTCTTACATATTTATTTAATTTTTTTTTTTTTTACTTTTTTGTTAGAAACTTGGCCAGAAACTCTCTAAACAGAATCAGCAACAACCTCTTCAGTAATCTTCGCTACATAGCACGGTTGTGAGTATAATTATTGCAATTTAATGTTTGTCGTTAAGTCCCTTGGCGACTAAACAGGATGGCGAGGCACAAGTGTTTAATTTTTCAAGTTGATAAGCCATCAGGAGAGATTTGTCTTTGGAGATAATCCATCTGAATATTTGAAGAACTGAACGTTTCGATTCATTTCATACGTTAAATGGAGCAAGGGTTTTGCTTGCTTAGCGCAGACTGCGTAGCACGGTCATAACTTCGTTAAGAGTCACCCCTCTATAACGGCCACTTTCCTTTTTCCTTAGCCCGCTAAAAGCACGTACATTCAATCTTACAGCCACCTCTCCACAAAGAAAAGAGCCATCTGCCAAAATAATCTCTCAATTACAGCCAGTTAATCAACGACGCACGAACGATGTATACAAAACCCAATTTTTTATTGAAAAAGGTCACGAAACTTTGATCCTTACCGCGGATCGTTGGTCCCTGTTTCTGTTTTCTTGATATGCTTTGATTGTGTTACGTATTTATATGCAACAGAGAGAATTTTTAAAAAAATTAGGAATGCTCTACTCTCAGAAAAAGAAAAAAAAAAGCAGGTGCCATATTACACCCCCACCTCCCCATAACGGCTACCGGCCAATCGCCCCTGTCCCCAAGGTGGCCGTTTTTGAGAGGTTCGATTGTACTACGTTTTCCCAGTACTTGATACACCAAGAAATCCCAAAACAACGGAGCTAAGCTTAGAAGTGATCAAATTGAAAATGTTGAAACAAAGATTGCAAAATAAAATGGAAGGCAAAGGTATGTAGTGAAAATGTGTTGGAAACAACACCAAAACTAATCTCGCTAACTGAATGACCTTCTAAACCGTTTGATGCAATAGTTCTTAATTCATCTTATGCAAAAACGGACTTTTTGGCAGGTACTTGGAAATGAATGAGATTCAGTTCATAGAGAACAACTCCTTTGAGGGACACGACTTCCTAGGGCGTCTGTAAGTGATCGCTTAAGTGGTACTTGTAACGAAAGTACGGTCATAAAAACAGTTATGTAGCGTGCATTTTTCATGGAGTATGCACTAAAGAGAAAGTTAATCGAGCGTCGAAGGAAGCGAGCCAACCAGCCGGCTATCGCCTCGTGTGCACTTATATGTCCTTACTACATTTTGACATTTGTGATCTATTACTGAACAGACACACGGCAACATGAAATCTATTTGCTAAATTTACATTTCTTCACATTTATCAGTTCAAGGTACTCTTTCTCTTTTAATTTCAGATTCCTTCATGGCAACAAATTGTCCAAAATTGCAACAGGTGTCTTTGATCCTCTCCGGCGATGTCAGTTTTTGTAAGTCGTAAAGCAAACTGTGAGAATGGTTTACAACTAAAACGTGGAGATAAATTGTGCTTCTTATCTCTTTTACATTTTTCTCCGTGTATTCTTTTGTCTGTTTATTAGAACACTTAACAACAACAACATTTCGGAGATAGAGCCAGGAGCATTGAAGGGATTAAAAAGCATAGAAACTATGTAAGTAATTCTCTACTTCATTGCATACTCATCCTGATTGCCATACATTTCTTTGCGTTTAATTTTGAACCAAAGCTATATCACGAGGATGTAACTCCCTCCTTGGGGAGAGTCAATGAAGGTTGAACTGTATTGAACTGTACTGTGAGAGAAGGTGAATGGTGGGATAGTTAATCTCCCATTTATGCCTTATCCTCAAAGTTGGCCATCTCAAGTTATTTATAGATTACTTTGGACATCCCAGGAGAGTTAAAATAGTCCAAGACAGCCCAAGCATTTTTATTCTCTGCGAGAACAACCACGCAACACGCGTGGCGACATTCTCCATGGATATTAAATTTTTTTTTGCTTTTTATGGCGGTGAATGTGCTTAGCTTCACCTAGCTAGTTCCCAGGCATGCCACGTAGACTGAAAGAAACAAATTAAATATGTCAACTAAACATAATAGGCTTAAAAATCCCACCTGGGTGAGGCAGACAAGTTGGCTATTTACAAGCATGACCGAGAAGTTAAACTAAGGTCTACCGAGAAACAACTCCAGCTAAGGGATCAGAACGGGACTTAGACCCGCGACTTCCGGATTTCAAGTCCAGCGTCCTAACCACTCGGCTACGCTGCCTCCGTGGAACTGTGACCATGTCTAAAAATAACTGGAGAAATTACTTTGGGAATAAGGCCAATATGGAGGATTAACTGTCTTACTCTTTATCCTCTTTTGATAACTGACTATAAGGTAATCGACCCCCCAATGAAGAACAATCCCGTGTTTTAAAGTTGACCGGAACCCTGCAATAATTCAAATTTTTGCATATGCAACTTACTTTTGCCTTGCTGTCTATACCAGCTATAAACGATTGTTTAACTAAACCAAAATATGCCTTTAATTTTTTTTTTAAAGATTTTTGCAATACAATCGCTTAGACAGAGTAAAGAAAGAGGACTTCGCATCTCTGTCGACGCTTGAAAGGCTGTAAGTATGGTTACCACTTTTTTCTGCTCTTAACTGTGGACGCCGTTTATGACCTTGACCAGGCGATAAGGCCTTGTGAGCGCACTGTTTGTTAAAACCATACCACTATTGCGATTGTGAAAGTTATGTTACATAAATTATATTTGTTCTAAAACGTTTGTCGTTCAAGAAGAGGAGAATTTCAATAAACGCCACGCAACAGGCTGAAGACATACATACCGAGGAAGTACATCCATCGTAAAATATATAGGAAATCACAAAATGAATTTTATGCGCATGACATGAATGACATCACAATGACCTCCAATGACTTCCTTGATCTTATTTGAAGGTTCGGAATTTATGCATTTATTTTTATTTATTTATTTATCTATTACAATTTAATGACACTAATTTAATATACAGATTAACAAACACAGAATTGCCATAGGGATGGTCAGCAAAAAGAGTCACAGACCCCATACTTAAACAGACCATTTACATTATAAATATATGTAAAAATAGATCCGCAATGCGTACTTGTGGGCTTATGCTTAGTTTTATTCTATTCGGTTGGAGATTGTTTCAAAAAGTCAGAATCTGGGAGTTAAATTGCTATAAGTGACTGAGACGGCAATCACTGCAAAGGCAAAGGTGTTACTTTGAAACTGGAGACAATGTACTCGTGGTAGAAAACTTGTGGCCTCTTGGTCGCACCCTGGAAGTAAAACCAAACAAGAGAGACGGGCTTGTGAAGAGAGTCACGCTGAAAACTAAGTCCGCGGTCCTGGAACGTCCCATCGACAAGATCGTTCTTCTAGAGGCTCCTAGACTCCACGAGAGCAGCTAAAAATGATTGATCTTGATGTCCTCAATAGATTGCGAGCAGCCTCTCTTTTGCTCGGAAATCCGCGAGGAAGAACGCAATGAAGAAAGCAAAACAAGTGTGACTGCGAGCGTGACATGCGAGTGGCGAGTACCGCGGGGGTCTCGCGGCTTCGCATATCACGCTCGAACGCTCACGACCCAACGCTCGCTTGGCCAACCGCTCGCTTCTTCTTTGCGTTCTTCCCCACGGATTTTCGAGCAAAAGAGAGACTGCTCGCAGTTTATGTCCTCAACCAGAAATTTTGCTTGCAACGTCAGAGAACAGCTGTTTCCTTATTGACTTGATTGTGATGAACCATTTTGAATAGATTTAGTGACAATAATAATTCGCAAGTCTTTCCCTTTGAATCACTCAACTAAGTTTAAAGGCTTTCAGTTCGCATTTAGGGGTCGGTATGTAGGATTCAAACGTGTGTGACATTTCCCCTACGTGCGTTACACTTGCTTTAAAATCTAACTCGTCGATCATCATGTTATTCGTTGCGTAAGATTTTTGTTCAGTTCGTAATAGCAATCGTATCAATTGCATCGAGTGTGGTTTTTTTAAATTCTGTTTGTCACCTTTTCTTAGCATTATTGTAACCTATTGCTTTTAAGTCGAACACCACATGACTCAGCCAGAAGCATTCTTAAAATTACCTCAATAAATCAAAGTGAGCACCAAATAAGTTCGTTTTTAAATCATCTCTCGGTCTAATGCGTACATTAGTTCGGAGATAACCGCTGCTCAAGTTTACCAAGGCATAACCGAAAGGAAATTATGGCCACCAATTCGAGTGAAAAATCAATCACGTTACGTTACATGTGGGTCGCCTGTCGCGATCGCGGGTGACCCGGGACAACGAAGGAATTCGGCACGAAAAATCCCTTGAACTTTGCAGAAAAAGAAGTGCAGCGAAGGCAACCATTACCAAGTAGATCACAGAAGTTGCGGAATGCATTTCTTTTTCTCGAAAAAAAGAATTCTATGAGACACATTTGAATGACTGTTATGTCATGTTTTGACGTAAACCCAGCATGAATAAAAACGTAAACAAAAGAGCAAGCTTAAATTTTGGCCTGTATGGATGAAATCTTGGCAGCAAAATGATGTTGTAAAGGTCTCATTGAAATCATAAAACTGAGCGCCCCCATACATGATCTAGTTCACCACCCCTGGAAGTTCTGGAACTTTTTTCCGCGATAAGAATGCGGCCAGTAGTGTATTTGTTATTAACCTATTCATTGAAACCTGTAAATTAAGGTATAGTTTAGGGTATACCTAATATTTATAACGATTTTGACTTTTTTGAACTTTTTCGTTCTCTTCTTTCAAACCATCGTTTGTCAATGCTATCACTTCCTTAGTGGTTGTTGACGCACTGTTTGGAATACACATATCAATGGCTTTCAAATGGTATATCATACACGGGTATAGGGGGTCTGTTAATTGAATTGTGGAAAATCCCCAGCAATTTAGGGTGAAAGGGTTAAAGAAAGTGTATCTAGTAACCATTCTGTAGTTATCGTACTTCACTAAACTGTCTATATATCTATCTACTTTACATGTACACCTTGATTTCTACCAACTCACCTTGAAAGAACCAAAAACATGATCGAGACGGTATTGAATTTAACTTAAATAATGGGTTTACCACATTTTTCTCATTGCATCTTCACTGGTATAATCCGATGAATTTGATCATGAATGCCCTATAACTCATCACTTTCATGAAGTGGTCATAGTATGGTAACTTGTTTGTTTTTTCCTTTGCTCAGGTACCTATTTGACAACAAGATATCTGTGATTGAACCGGGATCGTTCCCACAACGGCACCTGGCACAATTGTTAGTAATGTTTCTTTAAACTGAATTTCTGTATCGTGTTATGTGGAATCCATCATTTAGTCCAAGCGTCCGTCTGCCATTTAAATCCCACCTTAATCGATGCCTTTTAGTTTTAACAGATTCAAATGTGCTACGAGTGTTCAGTCAGTACAGTTTGTGATTTGGAACCTTTAAGCTATAATTAAACCTTTCAATTTTTATCTTATGGCAGGCTTTTGTACAAAAACCCCACATTATCGTCAATAACTATCGTAGCTGATGGAAATAGTAAACCCAATGTGACGGTTTATATGTGAGTACATGCGTTTTATGAGGGTTTTGCGCTTCCCTTTATAACAGCCTAAAGTGATGGGAAAATGCCTTTGCCGTTATTTAACTTGTCACTTCCCTAAGATAATTCAGCATGGCTTTTCTAACCCAGTGTCTTATGAAGTTTTCATAATTTTCGGAAAATTAAAAAGTTTCATAACCATGAGGAAGAGACATGACCGCCTCTTGCTCTGGTACTAGAAGGCAATGTAATAGCATGAATCTGTCGCAGAGTTACACAGCAAAAAGTATAAAATTTCAGATTAGGTAATTTTACCCTCCTGAAGAAAGGCTCATCAAGTGGCCGGGATTCACCCAGCCATCAAGGAAGAGAAATGACTGATACAATCAGACTGCTACAGTACTAGTAAAAAAACTGCGAAGCAGGAAGTAATGGCAACTTTATACTCTGGCCAAAATTCTTACCAGCGCAATAGCGCCGTTGTAATTAATAGGATAAAGATGCAAAGGATATAATTATTTTCATTAGAGTCTGAGAACAAATTGCAGAGTAAATTAAGCCACTTCCGTTCGAAGCCTAGTTATGTTATTTATTAGAAGTTTATCACCAATCTGATCAAAATTACATTTTATAGAATAACCCATGTAAAGCTGTAAAGCAATTTATAGACATCCGTGTAATCTGTTATACTGCTGTCCCCGTCTCACTTGCACGACCAAAGAGAGTATTTGTATTTGCCAGGCTTTCATATCTTTGCAAAGGAGTTAATATATCTAACTGCTGTTTATAGGTTTTCCGAGAACCTTCCGTCTGTTCCAGTTAAAGACGGTGTACATTTAAACGTACTTCAAACAAACGGATTCCGTTGTAGAGATGATACGTATACGTGCCAAATCTGTCCAAGGGGGACATATTCAAGGGGAGATGGTGTATCCAAAGGATGTTTACCGTGTCCAGCAGGTAATACAACTGGGATCCAATATTAGTTGTGCTACATTATAGCACTGATATCCCGTTCATACAAACATGTTAAACATGTTTTAAAGTGGTTTAACTAAACAAGGTTAGAAATTATTTGCTCATACACTGCAGACCTCACCACCAATTTGCCCTCTCAAAATGACTGCATAGTGTAATCTACAAACGAGGTATCCATTTTAAGTGTTCCTGTCTTGCACTATGTGATGACGCCCTCCCTTTTTTTCGTAGAGAAATGGCCAAATCGAAAATAGCCACGATTGTATT